GTGCTGTCTTCTCAAAGGATTTTGGGTCCTTTTTCAGCACAAATATGAGACCTCTGGCAGCACTCAGTTTACTCTTCCTTAGAAACAGCCAGAGCTGTATTTGTTCGCACTCGGTCCCTTGTAACATTGAACACTTGCTGAGGATGTCAAAGAAGAACAGAGAGGTGGGGAAGGAGGAAGCAGGTGTGAATGGAGCTGTGTTAGCAACAATTTGGGGGTGTTTTGAAATCATTAAACAGCAAACAAGCTTCTGTAAGTCATGTTTGGCTATTGAACTTTTAACTTTTTTTTATTCCTCCTTCTTAGGTCTTTCATAAAATTTTGGTTTGTAAAACTGTGCTCACACTGCAGCTTAGTACTGGCAAGCCAAGTGGGAGAGGGAGACCTGATAAACCTGTGCAAGAAATGCTGTAAAATATTCTAGGGAATAAAGCTTGCCATTGGCCAGGAGGTTTGGATAATGATAGTGTAGAGAGCCAAGAGCTTTTGAAACAGCACAAGAATGTGTGGGACTCATGATAGCATTGCAGGAAAGATATAATACAAAAGATATAAACAGAGAAAGACTGTTTTAAAACCAGGTATGGTCTTAAAACTGGAGGAACTGTCTTCCTCTTCCTGCATGTGACTTAATGTCTGTTACCTCCAAAGCCCCTAGTAAATCATAAAATCAGTTTGCTAAGCCATGCTGCTGAGGCATTTTAGAGTAACTTCCAGCTGCTGCTGCAGCCCTTTCCTGTTTCCCGGGCTGGCTGGCATGGACCTCCTGAGGTCCAGCGGGACAGGGAGCAGGCAAGTGCATCCTCATATTGTCCCTATGTACTGCTGGCACAGGTGGACTGCTTCAGGTTGGGAATCGGTTGTTTAATAAATTCCATCTTTTAAATCTGACCTTCCTAAGGGCTTGTGAAAGCAGCAATGAAGGTGTTACTTAATGAATTACTGAAGTACTACTATACTAAGCATTTCTGAAAAGCTTGTGTCTCTGGGTAGCTGATGGCCTCTTTTCAGCATTTCAGCCAAGAGGATGTTTTAAAACTCAACCTTCATTGCTGTTGCTTCTTGTGACACAATACTAGAGTTTTAGTGTTTTTCTTGCTCTCTAATTTGGATTGTGCTGCCCTTGCTAATATTAACATCTTCTGCCAGAGTAATCTCATTGGGAACAGAATTGACACCTTTACTGATGCTAAGTACCACCCATGTACCTGGTTCCTTGTTTATCATGAGTTCTTCCCCCATGATGGTTTGGAATTGAAGCATGTTGCTTGTTTCTGTTGTTGTTGTTTTTTCCCTTTCATGATTTTTGCCAATCAGAAAATGCAACAGAAGATGAATAACAGGCCTTGGATTGTCCCACTGCATGCTTGAAAGCATGGAAGTTGGAAGCAAATTTATAGTTTAAAAGAATAAAATTTACTAAACAAAACAATGCTTGCAGAGTGACCTTTCCGCCTCTTGAAAACTTAGTGAATGTGCAGCTGTTCTCTCCTGTCTTTTCCTAATGTATATTCATAGATTTTCACAAGGAAAAAACATGTTTGGGAAATCATGATTATAAGTTAATTAAAAATAGTTTTCATTTTAGAAAATTAAATGTGTTGGCAGTGGCATACTCACTGCTAATGGGTGATTGTACTTTTTCAATAATAATAAGAGATTCAATGAAACTCCAGAAGATGTTAGAATATGATTAACTAGATAATCTATGTATTTGAGTTTTTATTCTCAAATAAGCTGGATCTCCCAGAGCCAGAAGTGTGAGTTTATATTTGATAATTATATGAGACTCTTGAGCTTTCTTGCAGATTGTAATTCAATTCCATAAGATAAGAACTTTAAAACGAGAAGAAAGAATGAATGCCTCTAATTACAGGAAGGCATTGTGACCAGCTTGGTCAGTTTATTCAGTCCCTTGTCTCAGAGCCTGGCAGATTATGCACTGCACTGTGCTGGAGCAGCAAATAAGAGTATAGAATCCAGCAGTTCCAAATTATACTTTCCTCAAATTCTACTTTGGTTCTGTGGAAAAAAATAGTTTCTGAAAGTGCTTATCAAGATGTCAGCTGTGGTTTTCATTTACTAGAGGATATTGTATGGTGAGGTACATCAGGGGTGGCTGGAAGGTGTTTGGGACTTACTGGACAACCTATGGCAGAACAAAACTAGGGACCTGTGTCACAGAGGCAGAAAACTGGTGTCTTGTTTCTCTGAACGTGATGATAGAAAAGATTATGTGTGGTTATGTTTGCCCAGCATGTATTCTTATACATGTGCACATGTATTCTTATACATGTGCAAACCCACTCCATTTTCTGTAGTTTTTTATGTCCACGTTACTGAAAACAACATAGCTAACTTCAGAAGATGGTGCTGAAATTCACAGCTCCGTCTTTCACCTTTGTGTAGTGCCAGGTCCAAGCTATTATAAAAAATTTGTGTAGTGCCAGATCCATGCATGATAAATACAGAAAAGTTGCTATTACAAAAAATTTGCCAGTCAGAACCAACCATTTGTTGCCCATTGAAGATGCTTTTTTTTATGTGTAAGTGTTGTTGAGTTAAATATTAATGGCGATAAGAATACAGGTGAAAAGAGTCAAGTAAAAGCACACTTGGCTAAATTAAGAGAGCCGGAAGATGCTTTATGAATCTACCTGAGGTAGTTACTATAATTTCTGAGACTCTTCAAGTGTCCTCTGGGTCCTAATCAAAGTACTTTATGACTGCAAAGGGTAACACATTTTAAAGGAGGAAAAAGGGGAAATAAACAGGCCCCTTAAAGATTAAAACAAATAAAACAGTCTATTGGTTCACTTAAAAGCCATCTGAGTTGGAGCTAGAGAAATAACTGTATTAGTATACTTTAGTCTCCATGGGATTTAAATTCAGATTATGCCAAATTAGGTCAATATTATACATGAGAAGATGGGGGCTTCAGAGGTAAGGCTGGGGCAATTGTTCTAAATAGTATAAATTACAAACCCATTGTTTAGTCAATGACTAATTTCTGGACATCTGCATGTACAATTAGGCTTGTGGCAATTAACTGGAAGGTTGAACTCTTCCATATTTGTGCTAAGTTTACCAAAATGTGTAGATGAGAACTTGGCAAGGCTTCAAAGTAAGTAAATTTAGAGCAAGCAGTGTGCTGCCCTTAATTAACAAACAGCTGTGTGAGTCCTTGCAGCGAGTTCTTGTAATTCAGAGAAGATACAGAGCCTCGAGCAAGAAAGCACTGCAGCATCTCACAGTGTTGGTAGGGGAAGGATGTGCAGAGACCAGGGAAGGAGGATCCGCTTGCTGGAAGTATCCCAAGAAATGGTGGCCCACTTCCACCTCCAGTTACATTTGTGCACAGCCCAGCGCACTTGTCTAACAGCTGTGTCACGAAGGCATTGAGACATTTCTGGCTGGAGTTTCTAGCCTGATGGGTTGTGGCATTTTTTACCGTCCGATGAACAAATTTCCCAACTTTGTACCAGCTGAATGCTTTGACAAAAGACACCTTCCTTCTCGGTGTCATGGCTGTTTGTGTAGCCAAGTCATGTGCTGTTTTGGCAAAGAGTTTTGCTGCCAGCCCGGGTTGTCTTGTTGGGCTGGGGGTGGGGGGTCAGAGCAGACCAGGAGGGACCTTGGCCAAAGGGAAGAAGGTCCGTGAGGCGTTTCAGGAAGATACCTGGTGCCACTGGTGGTATGGCAGTGGGGGATGTGTTTGCTACACACAGACCAGAAGGAATGGTTAACTTTGTGCCTGCTCAAGGAAGGTTCCCATAAAGAAACTTACATAAGTATATTAATTTGTTGGAACAGAGCAAAGTATGTCCTGAGAGGAAAGAAACTTCCCCTTTGAAATAGGGGAAGATGCCAAAGTATCAGGAATGAGTAGTGATATGGACTAGAAATCAATGCATTCAGTGTGGTGCTGTCATTAGATACAGATGCTATACTGGGAGATAAAAATGGAAATGCTAAGCTAGGCTCAGGAAAGAAATTATTCATCGCTTTGCAGTTCTGTACAGGACAAGTTAAGTACTGTCTGTCATCTCATTAAAAATAACTGGAAGACATCTCCTGTCATGAAACAAATGGTAGTAGAATTGGAAAACGTTAAATAAAAGGATTTCTCAAAAGTTCTCTCAAAGGACATCTTTGGTTAAACATCAGACTACCTGGAAATATCTCAAAGGGCCAACATAAGTAGTACCGAAATTACTGTATTTATCTATACACACATACATATTTTGTATTTCTGTATGTTTTATTTTTAATATTTACAAGTGTGTATACAAAATGTATATAACAAATGTAGTGGATATCTCCGAAGTTAACAGTGATGAAATATAAACCATCTATTGTGTATCAATTATGCGGTAAATATATACATATACTTACATGTATACATATTTGTATATATACACACATATGTGCACATATAATATTACATTTATTTTTCCAGTTTGGTTTCATAATCTTTTGAAACCAAGTATGTAGACTCTTGCATTGCTCCCTCCCAGTGGATCCTCTAGCGCTGTATGTCACAAGCCTGTCTGTCCACAGCCTGTGGAAGAGTACCTGTGAAGAGTAGCTGCTAATGTGGGTGTCATATCAGAAGACATTTTCAAGACAGAGATAAAAAGGAATTCTGTGGACATCCCTGAATCTGTGAAAAATTTCTGTTAAATTAAAAAGTGAAGACATCTTTTCCAGCCTTACTGTAAAGAAAAGCTAGAAATTACCTTATTTGAAAGCAAATGAGCAGTCTGTCTCCGGCCCTTAAGACTCCTAAATTAAAGAAGAATGTTGTCTTTTTCACCATTTTCAGCCTCTAATATTCAAGCATAGCTTAGGTTACTGTTCACTAGTGAATCCATGAAGTTGAGTTTGACTAAGAGCAGCAGTGAGTACAAAACAAGTCATGTGTTCAAGTTCTGTCGCTAATTCAAGTTTAAAACATTCACAACAACTTGGCTAATTGTATTAATTTATTTCTTCTTAAGGCACAATGGGGAAACAGAATAGCAAGTTGGCCCCTGAGGTGATGGAGGATCTGGTGAAGAGCACAGAGTTCAATGAACATGAGCTAAAACAGTGGTACAAAGGATTTCTAAAGGACTGTCCAAGTGGTAGACTGAACCTTGAGGAGTTTCAGCAGCTCTACGTAAAAGTAAGTTACTTATTAAGTTCCTTTTATTTGGCTGTAGAAAAGGTTGCAAAGTAATATAAAGCAAACATATGGTCAAGAGCTGCCAGTCATTTAAGTCTAACAAATACTTTTGCTATGAGAAGCAATCGTGAAGATGAGGAGATAAATGGGAAGTGCTACCCTCATCACACCAGCATTTCATATAGCTACAGTGACCAGAACCAAAAGTTTAGTAAAAAAGCTGTATTTTACTCACAAGAAATATATTCTCTGCACTCTGTAATTTATGGGCCTGTTTCACCTTCAGAGTGGTTATGGTCCTGTTCAAAAAATGGTGCTGTACCTGTGTAATACCACTGGAATATAAACTCTGTGATTGCTGGACCTACTTATATAAATCTGACCTTCTTTGGGTTTCAGAAAAAGTGGTGAAGTTTTGTGACGGTATGTCCTGCAGATAAATTATGCACTGTGCACAAAGTATTTCTTTCTCTAAATTTTAAGTATTGCCTTTTTTTTTCCCTGCTGTCTCATTGCCCTTGTTATATAGGAAAGGAAAACTATCCTGCTTGGTTTATTTTCTTCTTATTTTTCATTATTTTGTCAAGTTCAATGTAGTCTTTTCCTTATATTTACTATGTATTTATTCTGTAACAAGAAGATCATGGGGGCAGCATAAGAAGTGTATTCATGTTGCAAAGATAATTATATTTTAATTCAGAATCAAGTGTCTGCCTAAAGGTCAGAGACTTCAAAGTAATTTTAATTAGGAAAAATATTGTATGGTGACGAGGAATGGTAGGATCAGAACAGTTCATAAATACAATGTGAAGCTGAATAAAAACTTAAAAAGCCTTTCAAATGTAAATAGTTAATATTGAGCACACTGACAATTTCTGCAGACAGGTGGGACTCTGCCTTTTTCCTTAAATGCATGCTACAATCCTTTCCTAAATTTCTTCAGCCTTGTACCAGATCACTCTGCAAATTATTACCTAGCCCCTTTTTCCTTCTAATGAATAGTCTAACAAAAACTGCTAACTCTAGCTTACATAAATGACCTTCTGTCTTCGTATTTTAATATTTATGGCTCAATATATTGCCTCACAATTCTTTTTTTAAGAAATGACTGACTTTGTAATAACTGTTATTTTCGGATGAAAGCATTTTTACTGCCTCAGGTATTGTGCTTGTTACTGACTGATAATTTATAGCTTCCATTTTAAACAGTATTCGGTGCACATCCAGCAAGATCAGACATCTAATCATTTCTCATACATGATTCTGAGGAAAGTAAATGGTCTTTACAAAATATCGGCTCCTAGTAAAGTATGTCAACTGTTTAACTCTTCAGAAATCATTATTTTCTTTTTGCAAATCACAGTAAAGGGATTAAATATATATATATATTTAATGATTTTGTGTGTTTTGGGGAAAGATATCTTCTGAAAATAGCTCGAAACTGTTAGGACTTCTTCCCTTCAAAGGAGCATTTGAAGTATTCACAGATATTTCACAAGATACTGTACGCATGAAGAATATATCAGAGAGTAAATTCAATATTATGTTTACAAAAATGATAATGCAAAAAATAACATGAAGAGCACAGTAGTATGTTGCTCTTGAAATTTCGAAGCAGCTCTGGAGTCTTACTAAGCTGCAAGATCTGGCTTTTAGTTTTATGGCCTCATATATTTTTAGATAGGCACATCAAATAAGATTGTCTCCCTTGCTTTGGTAGTTATAGGTTTTGAGATCAGCACTGTAATGGTACTGTCATATATTTAGTCCAGTTTACTGTCATTCTATATATAATGTCTGTATACAGGGTGAAATACTAATTTTGCAGGGGAGAAATACGATCAGCTGTAGTAAATCCAGAGCTTTACTTGTCCTTTTGTCACTGAAATGCTTGTAAAATCACGGCCCTGGGCTCTCTGAGGAGCTAATAGTCTGAGTGTTGGCTGTGGTGGCAACTTCTCCTATGTAGGACGTTCTGCCTGTGTTGGCTGCTGGCTGCACACAAAACCCTGGATGTGAAATCTGATCTTTCCAGGAGGAGCCACTAGCAGGAGATCCAAATCATGATTACATTTACAGCATTTCAGTTCTTTCAATGCATAATCAGGGTGAAAATGTATGAAGTGTGTATTGATTAGTAATTCCCCTGCATGAATTTATAGTTGGGAGGGATGACATCTGTTGCTCTGAAGTGGATTTTATTGAAGAAGATATCCATAAGTCAATATATTTGGAAATGAAGTACAAGATGTACCTTCAGTTCAGATTTACATTTTCTTAAGATTACACTGTTTCTTTGTTCATGAGGGTTGTTTGGTGCACTTTCATGTGTATTGATAAAAAGGTGTTGGCCATCTAAGATGCAAAGAAAGCTTTTATTTTTTACTCACACACATAGAAAATATCCTCAGCTTAAAAAGCAAAAACATTTTAGATTATATCAGGGCAATATTCTGAGGTGAATTTCCTGCTTATCTTCACTTCTCTTCCATCATAATTACAGAATAGGGTGCACAGTCCTGGGGCACAAGAAAATGCTTTTCTTTGCATGAAACGTAACAAGATGTGTCCTGGGATCACACCTAATGTATTACTGTATCTAATGCCTGCTAATAAGCTGGAGTTGGTCTGAAGTAAAACATCCAGAATATGTGTGATATGGATGTCAGGTCCTCAACACTATCTTTTCCACTCTATGTATTTACATCATTTATACTGTGCTGTTTACTGATTTAGATGAAGACTGTGTTGACTAAAGGGGGAATTACTCTAGCTTGGCTTGGAAGCCTTTGCTATTGAAGTTTCCATTATGAATACAAATCATTCAGTGCTTAAAATAAATAGCAGTTATACAAATGGACTCTACAGAAAAACTATTTGAAGCATTTCTGGTGGGAGTGTCTATAAAAATATTTAGTCAGGAACACCTCTTTGAAATAAGCAGCTAATAGACAGTTATATATTTTATACTGTTGCATGTTTAGCATTGTATGCAGTCTTTCAAACCTCTCCTACAGAGAACTACCTAGGAGATTAGAAGACAAAGCAAAATGAAGTGACTGGAGTCCTTTTTCTTTCTGTCATAAATAATGAAGATAATGTGAATGCCTTATCTTTACCACAGTGGTTTAAGTACTCATCAAACTGTAGGCAACTCTGAGTCAATTATTATGTCCCTGTCAAAAGTTTGAATCTGCACTGCTCACCCTCTCATTGCTCTACCTGTGATGGGATATGTCCTTCTGGGCTGCTGGCAGTATCCCAATTAACCTCTTTTTCTGCAGGAAATAGTGATAAGTAGCATCAGACAGGATGAAACCTATAGTTTCCATCTTCAAAGAGACTATCCTAACCATTAAGCTTAATCCTTGGTTACTTTCTTCATTTTCCTTTTTTTTCTATCCCAAAAAGTCCTTAATTCTTTTATCTTACATAAAACATTAGCATTGTGGGCAGAGAGATGAGGAAATTAATATACAAAAGTGTCATTAAAATGGAATATACCAATAAAACGTTCTGGACTGTTCCTATCATTCTTCAGGGTTTCTTGCTGTCTAGAGGGCCAAATACATTTTCCTTCAGATCTTTTGAATTCTCTGGATTTAGATGAATATGCCCTAGAGAGTGTAAGTGTGCATAATCAGTGCTAATGTTCACAGGAATTATGCATGTTTATTAAGTGGGAAATAGGCTTCTATATTGTGATACTTCTTGGAACTGGGTTACTGAATATGAGAAACATATCTTCTGGATTAATAACAGAAACAAGCACCGATGGGCCTTTAACTGGAAGTGTAGGGTTGGGAATGATCCTGATATAATGCTAGCATTAAATAAAGTAATTTACTTGTGAATTTATTGTACATCTATTATATAGCTATGCTTTGGGGCTTTATAGATAATGTATAAATGAAAAAAAAAAAGAATATTAATGCTATTTGATTCATTATAATCAAATGGTTTGTCATATTTTTGGCTTCTATCTCACATTTCCTGCATTGAAAGGAATTAATTTCTAGTCCTTCATTTTAATATGTGTAGAACAAAAGAATCTCAAAAATCTATTGAAATTTAAGTGGATATATTTGCAGCCTCTTTTTCTCTATCCAGATTTTTAAGACAGACTAGAATCTTTCTAAAGATGGCACAGGGCTCCTCAAAATGTTAGATTAGAGCTGCGTTTCAGGCTTTCAGTGGCTGTGAAGAAGTGGGATTCCAGAACAGAACAGCACAGCTGTGTTTACAGATGCCCCTAACACAGATGCAGTTGCACTGGCAGAAACTGATTTTACTGGTATCATCTCTTTTAACTGGAAGAGCTGTACTGGTTTTATGAGTGCGGTTTGGCTACTTAAGTTCTCCCTACAATAGTACTTTTTAGGTATATAATGCCAACGTTAAATATATTATACCTAATATAATTAATATATTTGGGTATATGATACCAATCCTGTATTGCTAAAGAACTTGAACATGTTTTGAATTCATGCAGATTATCAAAAATGCTGATGTATCTACTCCTACAATGATTTTAGCCCATGCTGTTGCTACCTTCCCGAAGATGACAGCTGGGGTGCTAGCAGTCTTCCTGGACAGCACGACAGTATGTTTGTTGGATGCACCACCTCAATTTAACTGCAACACAGAAAATATCATATGTATTTATTTATAAACATAACTAAAAATTCTTTAAATACTACTGCTCTGTTACTGAATTTTTAAAACTGATATAGCATAATGAAACAATTATTGTTATGTTAGAGACAATTAGAAATAGCACTGGATGCAAACAAGTGAAGCAACGAATAGCTCTGATCCAGGGACATTACAAGGTGGCTCGATAAGGAGCAGCGCATATGTAGATAGGCAAATAGAGGATAGGCAGAAATAACAGTAACATTATTGGCATCTGTGGAAGCTTTGCTTTGGGAGTGTTTGTAGAACAATCTATGATGTAAGGATTCTTAATGCATACCTTAAGCACTTAGTACAAATCTGCA